GCGGCGGGGGAGGGGGGGGGGGTGTGGGAGAGTTTGCTTATAGTGACAGCGGATGGCACCGACAATCCATAACTGTAGATAAATGTCACCAGCCAACCAAAATCATTTCCAATCCAAATGTCCATTTATTGAAACGTCATATCACCAGAAAAAGTGCTTTCTGGGCCACGCAGGGTCACATTCATTGCTCAACCTGATGAAGGGGACCCTGCGTGGCCCCAAAAGCACTTGTTCTGGTGACATGAAGTTTTAATAAATGAACATTTAGATTCAAAATGATTCTGGTGCACTGGTGACATCTATCTACAGATATAGATTGGCGGTGCCATCCGCAGTCACTACAAGCACCCCCTCTGTGATTGGGGATTCCACGATAAGGAGTGCGACAAGACTACCATTTAGATTAATTTTACTTCTGGGGCCACACAGGGTCTCCTTCATTGCTGAGCCTGATAAAGGGGACCCAGCGTGGCCCCGGAAGCACTTATTCTGGTGACATGACATTTTAATAAATGAACATTTGGATTGGAAATGATTCTGGTGCGCTGGTGACATCTATCTACAGTTATCAATTGGCGGGGCCATTCGCAGTCACTACAAGAACCCGGCCCTGTGATTTGAGATTCCCCGCAGGGTCACCTTCATTGCTCAGCTTGATGAAGGGGACCCAGCGTCGCCCCGGAAGCACTTGTTCTGGTGACATGATGTTTCAATAAATGAACATTTGGATTTGAAATGATTCTGGTGCGCTGGTGACATCTATCTACAGATATAGATTGGCGACGCCATCCGCAGTCACTACAAGCACCCCCTATGTGATTGGGGATTCCACGATAAGGAGTGCGACAAGACTACCATTTAGATTTATTTTACTTCTGGGGCCACACATGGTCCCCTTCATTGCTGAGCCTGATAAAGGGGACCCTGCGTGGCCCCGGAAGCACTTATTCTGGTGACATGACGTTTCAATAAATGAACATTTGGATTCAAAATTATCCTGGTGCGCTCGTGACATCTATCTACAGTTATCGATTGGCGGCACCATCCGAAGTCACTACCAGCACCCGCCCTCCGTGATTGGGGATTCCCCGGTAAAGAGTGCAACAAGAATACCATTTAGATTTATTTTCTGTATGCAATTTGCATAAAACATTAGCTGCTATCAAGATGAACATGTCTGTGTGTACTCCTTAGCAACTTCTAGGTTTTCCGGCAGTTCTGGGGTTAAGGTTCATCCCTAAAAAGTGCTTGTTAGCAGCAGCAGCACAGCAGAGAAAAAAAAGCAGACAGTCGATATCTGGTGGCACGATTATGCAAATTTAAAACTGTTGCTTTGGTCGCAAAAAAAAGACCCAAAAACTAATGCAAACATTTCTGTTCACAATGTCTACATGAATTGCTATGCAACTGCTTCAATAAATAACCTCAAGCTGGACTACAGGAAATTATCTGTCAAACGTACAGTTGTCCTTTAATATTTACCCCTCCTTTAACACGAGCCTGATATCTGCTGTCATCATGAGCTCCAGTGGGTGAACATACTCAACAATTGACACTTTTGGAGGTGTCATATTCATTCTCTATGTGCTGTGGTTCCTTTCTCCAACCTCTCATCCAGGGGCGTAACTAGAAATCACAGGGCCCCATAGCAAAATTTTGTTTAGGGCCCTGTGCTTTCTAGTTAAACCCCTTGCAGAGCCCACCTGAGGGTGAATTTGCAGAGCCAACCATAGACTCTCCATGGCTCTGCAGGGTCACCCTCAGGTGGGCTGGTCGCAATTCTTACTTGTCCGCATCCTCTTCCTCCACGGTTGCTGATGGGCCCAGCCTCCTCCTTTTTTGCCGTACCCACCTCCTTCTTCGTCACCAGGCCCCGCTTCCTCCCCTGCTGCCGACCACGGGTCCACGCCTCCTCCTCCACTGCCGCTGCTGGCTCTCATTGATCTCTGTGGAGAGGAACGCGCTCCTGCACAGATTAATGTCAGTGATCTGAACAGCGGCGTGTGCGTCTTCAGCCGCCAGTGAAAGCCACCAGCAGAGGATCCCATAGCGACCCAGGCGGCCCGCACAGCATCTGGCTGGGCCCCACTGCCCCCCGGGCCCCATAGCGTGATTGTTACGCCACTGCTCTCATCACATCACAGAGTAGGCGCATAGCACTCAGCAGAGGATCAGACATCTAACATAAACAGTGTTTAAGTGTGCCAGATTCTGAAGATGTTTTGGAGGAACTCCTAAAGATAGGTGGATGTTGGGGGCTAGGGGAAGGTAAGAATTAACTATTTAATTTGCAGCAGTATTGTTTTTCAAAAAGCGAAAATCAGTTTAAGCAACACAGCTAACTTGCTTTTCCTCCCCTCAGTCTATAGTTGGCCAATAGAAAAACAGCAGAAGACTGATGAGCTCAGCCATCTGACCAGTTTGGTTTTTTACTCTTTTTAACATAGTCACTGCATGCGAGAGCTGTCCATCCCTCACCCATTCTGTGTGCTACTGTACAGATACCAAAACATTTTCAGGTAATTACATTTGTTGCATTTAAAAAGATACATTTAATTTTTAAAATGAATATATCCATTAACTGGAGCTCTTTATCTCTATTAGGAGTTCAACTAACATGAGGACCATTAATAGTTACATAGCTACATAGGTATAAAAAAAAAAAGACACATGTCCATCCAGGTTAACCATGAAAAACAATGACCTTGTATCTTCAGAACACCTAGTTGATCCAGAGAAAAGGGGAAAATTCTCAAGATAAAGAAAACTGAAAGGGAATGACTGACTGGTTAAAGTAGATGAGCAAGAATGACGTTCAACACAAAATGGTGGACATTTTGGGTACTTGGACTGGATTAGTAGGGTCAGCCAACAATCTACTGCTACTAAGTTTCTAACATTAGAAGAAACCTTCAGGTTCGTACATCTTAAACTCAAATGGAATTGACACCTACTTCATAAACTTTACAAGTTCAACAATCATGGACGTATTAACATGTAAAATGGTCTTCGTTCAACACACATATGAAAATTGTGATCCAGGTCATCAAGTTTCATCAGTGACTGACAAAGAAAGACAGAGGTTGTGGAAGACTGAAGTTCTTCCCATCATGATGGACCTTTTAGAATAATTTTAGTTTTCTCCAGTGAGGTATTCACTTCTTAAATTTGCATCCTTCCTTTACACAGTCTCCAACAATAGAAATAGAAATTCAGTGCCATCAAACCCAAATCTCAAATGTCTTCTCTGTAAACGCAACTGTCAGGGACCAGAGCACCTCCGGGTGGCACTGTGGAGCTGCAACCAGATCCTGCAGTTCCAGTGCTCGCCTGCAGGGGTCTGCCAGCAATTAGTCACCACCTGGTGCCACAGTATTGTTGCCATATCCTGTTTCCTGTTACCAGTATCCTGTATCCTGTCTTCTGTTATCAGTATCCTGTTTCTGCCATGGACCCTGACTACTGACCCTCCAGTATCCTGTTTCTGCCTTGGACCCTGACTCCTGACCCGTACCCCTGAGTTCCCCCAATCACCTGGCTCCCGACCCTTGCTGTTTGTATATTGTGTGGTTCTTATTTGTTTCTTGCTGGTGGAGGTGGGATAGCCTCTGTTTATGTGGTTTGCTATATCTATTAAAACTATTATTCACCAAGATTGTTGTGGTATTTGCAGTGTGGTCACATATTCGGTTCACCCGTATAGGTACCTGCACGTGCTGTTGGGACACCCGTGCTCGGTATCCTGACAGCAACAGGTTGGTCAATTTGGAAATTAATGTAATTAGAATGAAAACTCTGTTAAATTAATAAATATCAACACGCAAGCTAGAAGTCTGTTCCAAGTCAACCAGTTTTGCCTAATGCAACACAAAACAATTGCTTGAAGGACTGGAAAATCTACAGTTGTGAAGAAATTGTCATCGGAAAGGTAGACGCAATTTTAAATACAAAAGGTACAGTGTTTCTACCATAGTCTACTATCTGTATCTTGAAGGTAAGAGTCATCTTTGGATTTATTCATTGCATTAAATGACGTCTTTAAACTCTCAGAGACAAGAGAAGTGTATTCGTAGGCTTCCACAGAAAATATCAGAGAAAATCCACAAACGGCGTCCAAAAGACTCTGCAGAGTTCCCAGCTTCTGTATGGATCATGGTGGACAGCTGCTAGTGGTGGCTCAAATCATTTTCTGCTTTTGGACTATGTCCCTCTCCTTCTCAAGCTTCTCTCGCCTCTTTTCAGGAATCTCGTCGAGGCTGATTCCGTGGTTGCTGGCCCTGTGTAATAATGCATGAATACTTAATTACTAAAAACAAACAAATATATACTTTTGATGTAAACAATGTGCCATGATGAAAGGGAATAGACATATGTTATGTAGCATTGAAAGTGTACATTGAGGAAACCGCTCCAATTGTTAATCGACACCCGTTCAGGTGTCAAACACATATGAAGGTCTGGTCTTGTGATGGTCTCATCTGCCATGTGTTGGTGCCATAACAAACCTTCACATGATCCAGACTTTTAACTTTGACAACTACCCCAGTCTCACAACTTTGGCCACAGTAAATATAGTCAAATTCATAAAATATCTGGCTACACAAGGGTGGGGAAATTATTTAAAAAAAACTACTTGTCCAAGGACTAAGGCCCCTTTCACACTGGCCGATCAGGAAAGGATTCATCATCAGATCCTCTCCTGATCAGAGCAGCAGGGATCGAATGTCATCGCTGTGATGGAGGAAAAAACTGAAAGTGCTGCACCCCATGCAAGTCTATGGGGAATCTGATTATATGGTGAACCTGCCTATATGGTAGCGCCGGGTCTATGGGGAATCTGATGTAAACAGACATGTGTTTTTTTTTACATCAGATTGCCTCCAGTCCGGCAGGATCCGGTCTGTCGAAGCGAATCAATGACCCGTCTGTTTTACCAGACTGAGCCGGGGCTAACCGGGTGTAAACGGACACGCATCCATTTTAACCCGGCTGCCCATAGACTTCCATAGGGTGCAGCTGAAAATCTGATAGGCGGACCTGTTCGGACCGCTCATGTGGAAGTGGCCTAAAGTGGGGACCCAATATACTTGTCCCTGATGACAATCTACTTTTTGTGATACAAAAAAATAATTTTAACCAAAACCGTATTTAACCGTGCTAAGAAGCGCTTCTCATTGGTCATTGCGGTCAGGTGGCCTCGCTGATCAGGGAGTGCTCGCAATTTGCCAGGAAAATTCAAAAGCCATAGCACAGGGCTGCACTAGTTGGCAGTATGGGGTATGGATAGTACACTGGCTGTTCACCGCAAGCTAAGTATAGCGGGTGGGGGGGATGGGAATTGGGGGAGAGGGAGCCAGATTTGAGCGGGTAATTCCATTTTCGCAAACTACTTGGGAGGGTGAACTTACCCTTTGATGCAAATTTTGCATGTTAGAGAGGGCTGCTGCTCAGCTACCACAATATGGCACACTATGGAATGGGGGCAGCACCCTATGCGTGCATTTATGCGCATGCAGATGGCACGGGCAGTGAGGTTGGTTTAAAAAATTTGTAATTGTTATTTATTTTATAATTTTTTACTTTTTTTATCCTTTTTTTTATTTACTTAACTTTATTGCTATCACACAGGGGATAACAAGCCCTTATGTGATAGCATTTGGAGGTGACAGGTTTTCCTTATTAAGCCTGCCCTCCAATGCAGACGATCAAGCATAGCATTGTGCTTGATCCTCTGTACAGCCCGGCTTGTGACAGCTGAGACAGAAAGCGCTGTGAATACAGTGCTCCTGTCTCACTGATCACACAGAGCAGATCAGAGAATGGGCGTTCTCTGGTCTGCTCCCTGTTCCCCATCCTGAAGTCATTTGCTCTAGTCCTGGGTCCCTCAGAAGAGCAGGGAATCCCAAAAACCACGGCTGGGAGGTGGGGTGAAGTAGGGGGGTACAAACAGGCTGCTTTAAGTGATCTGGGTGGCTGTACAGCCACCCAGATCACTTGTACATAATGAGTGGAAGCTTCCCTGCTCCACACTTAGCCCTGCTTGCCCACAGCAGGGCTAAATGTAGAGAAAAAAACACCTGCCTGCCACGCAGAACTGCATGTCCCAGGCGTCGGGCGATAGGAATTGCTCACCCCTGCTATATGATGTGTTGAGGAGCCAGTGGTGCATTGGAAACTTTCAAGTGTTTCTAAAACAAATTTCATTACTCTTGGATACATTAGACACAGATCCGCCCCTTTCTGCAGACTCTCACTTGGTGACTTGCTACACAGTTACAATGCTGCAGTCTTATCACTGGGGTTGAAAAACATAGGAATTGCTTTCTACTGCCAGCAGAAGACTGATGACACCATCTCAGCTTAGGCAAAGTCACCTGATTGGAGCTGATTTTTAAGTATAAAAGGCGGAGCTTTCTAAATAATGATCCTGTTAGCGCACATTGTGACATGTCAGGAATTTATTGATTCAATCTTGTAAATATACTGAAAGGTCCACTTTTATATTAATTACAAATCAAACAAATATAACTGTGTACTCACCCCGGTACAATATCTGGCGGCGTCGGTAAAGGTTTATCGAACCCTTCTTTTCCTACCAACCAAAATGTGTCTTCCACACCTTTACCCTATAAATGAAGAAAATTACCATCTAAGCATAAAATATGAACAAAAGATATCGGCGCTTCATATATAGTTTAGTGTCTCAGACTTTGCAACCAAGAAAGCCTAATGTTGCAAGCATTCCTAGGTTGTCCCCACCTGCCAAGCAGGAAAATCATCCGCACTTCAGGGCCTCCAAACGTAAGCCAGTGTTTCAGATGTCTGTTTTAAAATGGCAATCTTAGCAAAAAGTATCATCTCAGATACACCAACAACATGGACTACAAAAATGTCACAGAGTATATTATTTACAGAATCAGCCTCCACCAGTGACGTACCGTGCCTTCTGGGCTGGGTGAGGCGTCCCCCAGCCCCCGAAGCCCCGCCTCCCAAAGTCCCGCGCCCAGCTCGGTAACCAAAGGTGGGGAGGAGGAAGGGAGGAGCCTCCCTGTCCCTCACTTGCTCGTCACTGGTGAGGCATCAAGATCGATGTCCTCACTGTTTTTTTTTCTTTTTTTGATTGGACAGCTTGGGCCAATAGCACTTTGCCATCCACAGAGCACATGGTCCAAGCCATCCACAGAGCACATGCTTCTAACACAGAGTAGAGGCTGTGACAGCTCTTGCCTCACCAAGTTAGGTTACACAAGCAGTGGGGAAGCCCGGATGCAGCGCTGCCTATAATTAACAGGCAGTGCTCCGTCCATGACAGGTTACAGAACGGGGAGGATTTCCATGCTGTGTAACCTGTAACAAGCCGATCTGAATGGAGAAAAAGCTGTCAGCGTCAGACTTGAAGCTGACAGCTTTTTCCTCCATAATACTAGGGGAGGCTCTGCCTCACCTGCCTCTCCTGACCGCACGTGACTGGCCTCCACCATATGTTTTATAGCAACATCATCTCACTGCATATTCTACCAAGGCTAAAGCTGATCTATAACCAATCTTGTAACGCTATATTTATGTTTTTAATCCCCTATTCCCATGCTGTGAATCATATTAATTGCATGTAAATTCTGAGCAGTGGCGTAACAATCGCCATAGCGACCCAGGCGGCCGCTATGGTGCCCGGGCACAGGGGGGCCCGGCCAGGACATCCCTCTGATGCCGTGTGGGTCGCCTGGGTCGCTATGGCATGTAAGGGTGTTGGCTGTCACTGACACAGCTCAGCAGCGGTGTTTCCCCTCACAGCCGCTGCGGAGCTGTGTCAGTGACAGCCAGCAGCTACGGCAGAAGAGGCCGGCGTTCGCAGTGAAGGAGGAGGCGGGGCCTGCCTAAGAGCAACCCCGCCTCCTCTTACATCACTGGCCAGCGACCTAAGAGCAGGTGGGGCCAGTGATGTAAGAGGAGGCGGGGCCCGGCAGTGGAAGAGGAGGCGGGGCCTGGAGACGGAAGAGGAGGCGGGGCCCCGGCGACCACGGAGGCGGACGGCGCTGACAGGTAAGAAGTGTACAGCCTATCTCAGACCCTGCAGAGCCCACTATAGAGAGTCTATGGTGGGCTTGGCAGGGTCACTCTCAGGCAGGCTGTTTGGTATATCAGGTGGGCTCTGCAAGTGGCTCTACAAAATTTTGCTATGGGACCCTGTGATTTCTAGTTACGCCCCTGATTCTGAGGGTTTATATTTTAAGATATTTACAGTTTCCCCAAATGACAGCCCATACAGAGCAGGTGATTATCTATGACCGTTGTGGGCAGAAGCCCCTGTGAGCTAGAACAGAGCAGTCACTGGCACTCCACCATCTCTCATCCACAACAGCATTACATTTATATGCCATTTAGTGGACATTAGTGAGTGACTAAGTGCATGGAACCTGAATCTCGCCCTTAGACCTGTGCTCTGGAGTCAAACAGCTGGACAGGAGCCAATTCTAGGACAGAAATTGATTCCATGAAATGGTAAATAATTAACATGAGGAAAAAAACTACGAGGTCACCTGCATTATATGGTATTTTCTTGATGGTTACAGCGTCGCTTTATCAGGGTACGCAGCTCCAATCTATCACATTTTCCCTTCGAATCTCTGACATTCCAGCTGTTAACTTACACCTGATAAACGTTTTCCCAAAATAGTTTTAAACGTCTTTGCAATCTGTTTTGTGTACTATTTGCAAACTTGATATAATAAAAGATGTGGCCCAAACGTTGTGGATTATCACACCTGTATGGACTTCTTATTCCAAAACCATGGCCCATTCCCACCTCCATGCCACTTTGCAGCTATAAACACCTCCACTCTTCTAGGAAGGCTTTTCACAAGATGTTGGAGTGTGTCTGTAGGAATTTGAGTCCATTAAAGGAGAATTATGAGGCGAGGGAAACTGTGAAACTGTCACAGGTCGGCTCAGTAGATGGGGAAATGAGTGAACACATACTGGCGCTCGCTCACTTCTCGATCTATCCGTGCAGAGAGCCGTGACTGTCACTCACGCCTCCCTGCAGGGATTCCCCCCCTCCCCTGTCCAATCCTCCAGCGCTGACTGGCGGAATGGATGGGGCGTTTACAGCTGGCTCTGCCTCTACGCTCAAACAAGCGGGCACCATCGTCTTGTTGTATACCAAGATACACTCCAAGATGGTAGCACGCATGAGTAGAACGTGCCTGCAGGGGACAAGGCCGCCTCTCATTCTGCAGTTTGCGGCTTCGGATTCAGAGGCTCGTTGCCTCCGAATCTGAAACAACATAAAAATGTGTTTCCTTTGCCGAAAAGAATGAAATTTTTTTTCGTTTTCGTTTGTTTCGTATGAAAACAAATTTTATTGCCGTGCACATGTCTATCAGCTACTGATGCTGGATGAGCAGACCTGGCATTCCAATTCATCCTAAACATGTTCAGTAGAGTTGAGGTCAGAGCTCGGTGCAGCACATTTGAGTTCCTCCACACCAAAGATATGAAACCATATCTTTGTGCACAGGGACACAATCATAATAATAATTATTATACAGGATTTATATAGCGCCAACAGTTTGTGCAGCGCTTTACAATATAGGGCAGCCATTACAATCACAATACAATTCAAGACAAGATGGTAAGGAGGGCCCTGCCCCTGAGGGCTTACAATCTAGAAGGGAGGGGGAAGTGATACATGAGGAGGGAGATGGAACAGAGCCTTCCTCAAACTGTTGCCACAAGGCTGTAAGAAAATGAAAGGAGAACTATGAGGTGAGTGAAAATCACTCAACCTCAAAGTTCGAGCCGACGTGTGACAATGAAACTGATACACGTCGACTCAATAGATCGGGAAGTGAGCGAACACATACCGTCGCTCGCTCACTTCCTGATCATGTCCCTGCAGAGAGCCGTGGCTGTCACTCACGGCTCCCTGCAGGTATTCCCCCCCTCCCGGCTCCAGCGCTGACTGGCGGAACGGACGGGGAGGGGGCGGGTACAGCTGGCTCTGCCTCTAGATAGGCAGAGCCAGCTGTCAATCACGCAGCTGGGTGGATCTCAACGGTAATGTCAGGATCCATCCCGGCTGCAGTGGTCTCAGTATACCGCGAGCCGTAGCTCGCAGTATACTGAGCTTTGGGTCACGGGAGGACACAAGCTAGCGTCCTCCTGTGACCGTAAGGAGAACTATGGGGAAAAGCACTGACCCCATAGTTCTCTTTTAATTGGCTTCAGAGTTGCTGCTGTAGCTTTCTACAATGCCCTGCTACTTTATATAGCTACATATTGATGATGTGATCTTCAACAGCTGCATTGGATCCCATAGATGGCTTCTGAAGCTGGTGATTCTTTAACTAACTCCAAACACGGCATGAGGTCAGTTTCTCACCGATTGAGCTGTAAATAATTTGGAACTTCAGCAACTAAAGCTGGCCATACCCCTATAGATTATCTGCAGATTTTCTATGGTCAGATGGAAAAAGTGCAACAGATTCCGCCATCTACGCTAAACTGTGTGGATTGAGGAATCTCTCACTGGGCCAAGCTTCAGTATCTTGCTGGTCTCAAAAATACCTAAACAATCTGATTGGATGCCGGCATTGTTCAGGTGTTTTGAGAGCCAGCGGGGCCGACTAGCAAGATACTGAAGCTTGGCCCAGTGGGAGATTCCTCCATGCACACAGTTTAGCGTAGATGGAGGAATCTGTTGCACTTTTGCCATCTGACCATAGAAAATTTGCAGATACTCTATAGGTGTATGGCCGCCTTTAGAACTTTTTTTGACTGCAATTATTTTTTTCCTATCAGCACAAACACTAGGAAGAGAGATTCTGAAAGTGCTACAAAATGTTAATACAAATTTGCCAGTGTTATGCCAGTGTTATGCCAGTGTTATGTGGACTTTAGTTGTCTATTTATTAAAAAAAAAAAAAAAAAGTTTGTATAGCTATGGATCTGCATAGTAGCAACATTTATCTGCAGCGTTCTCTAGAACTGACACATGGTACAGTATCTTTTGTTACTAACATGTATTTATTTCCTATGATCTTTAGCTCCATCTAGTGTCCATACTGCAGTACTTTCCTAATAAGAATATTGAGAATATGCCTATATGCCTGTAATATTTGAAATATAATTGCCCAGAACAGAAAATAGCCTAAAAAGATTTGGTTTTTGCCCCATCCTCTCAACAGCTGGTTAGTTTGCACAGAACCAATGTACATGCAGTTTTGTTGGATGAATAGCTATGCAAATTTTGTTTATGAAAAAGACCTCTAAGTGATCCACTGACTCCTATTAACATTTATCATTTTTATTTTTAAAGCAGACAAGCCAAGCTTTCCATATGTTCTGTTTACCTTCAGTTCTGTTTTACCCCTCACTTCAAACAGGTATCCCTCTTGCAAGGATTGAAGGATGTTCACTGTGCTGACATTCATGTGGACTCGATACGCTGGGGAAGACAAGATGAGGGTCATGGCAAGCTGACAAAATATTTTGTGTGTCATTGCTCCTAATTATGGGGATTTTAAGTGCTGCAAAACAGTCCCCAGCAGGTGCTGCACTTTACATAGCAGCTCAGACTGCAGTAATGCAGCATGTCTTCATTTTTCCGCACTACAATACCCATTGCACCGGTGTTGTGCTTTGAATGAGATGCATAGAAAACAAATGCTTTCTGTGTGCTCTTGCGGTAAATGGCGTAGATCATGGGTCTCAAACTCAATTCACTCGGGGGCCACTCGCCAAATTTCATAATTTAAAATAAAATGTAACTATATCCGCTTTGGGCGCAATGTTTACAGGTGCCTGGGCTCCTGGATTTACCGAGTAGTATAATGACGTGGGAGGTACATCCAAATACCTGGCACTTGGTTGCCGATGTTAGGTCTTCCGGACCAGCCTCCTGTACCCTATAGAGAGTGCTCTCCTATGTATACACCATGAACCATCTGGGGATTCTGTTGTTTGACTTTTCCTTGTATGTAAACCCCCTACTTGTCACATGTCTTGACTGTCTTCTATGTACCTGGACCTGTGAGTCCGCATGGGTACACATTTTTGGTATTGAAAACTTTAAATAAAGAATTTATATTTTAAAAAAAACCTATATCAGCTTTGGTGCTACGGACGCCAATACACAAACAATAAAGCCCCATTCATATCTGTAGGTTTCGGTGCGATTAGGGATTCCAGCATCAGGAACTTGCGTTTTCCTGAAGCGGGAATCACTAATCTGGTGTTTACAAGTGACAGCAAGTCAAATTCATTGACTTTAGAACTTGTAGTAGTTAGAACTTTTGGATTTTAAAACATTTTGTTATTAGTTGTGAAAATGAAAAGTGCATTGAGGTCTGGGAGTAAAATACAGAATATACAGTATGTATAAAGTGATGTTGTAGAATTCTGCAGATTTGTAGGTAACTTACGAAGTCCTGTGGATTCCATACGTGAGGCCGTGTTGACAGTGTCACCAAAGAGACAATATCGCGGCATTGTGAGTCCAACCACACCAGCTACACATGGACCTGTGTTGTAAGAAACATTTTAGGGAACTTTAGCCTCTGTTCCCCAGAGTTTACACTTACAATGTTTTTATTTATGACTAGGGATGTGAGGAGAGAGTTTGTCAAAATTGAGTTTATCACCTTCCCAGAAATTTCCAGAATTAGCCGTACCTTTCACCTTTGACTCTGCTATATGCATGGAGTCATAATGTCAACACTGATATGGTAGTCACATGTTTGTTTGTTTTTATAAAGGGTTAAAGTTAGTGGCCGGTTAGGTTTCTTCTGTTTTTCAAAATCCAATGTCTTATTGGAAGCTAATGAGGGGACATTTTTAGAACAGAAAAAGGTCCATTAGTTGGAAGAAGCTTCTCTAACCCTCAGGAGTGATCCAAAGCTCATCCCAAAATTAAAAAAACACAAAAAAACTTTAAACCTGAAACCTGGAAATGAAAAACATTTATCCTTGCAGTCGGTCCCCTTTCACATTGAAAGAGTTAACTGCTCCTTTGCTAGGGGATAAAAATAAGGTGAAATATAAGGTAAAATACTTATCTTAGTCCTCTTATTCCTCGCTTCTCTTGTACCTGCTATTGGTTCTCCTAAGCCTCTTCCTTTCCCTACCAAACCGGTTGCAACTCTCGTCATTCCGTGCAATGCAGGGATTCATTGCACAGGAGGATGCCAAGGGGACACCCACATTCTGGATCATCAGACATTTGAAGAAATCATTAGCTGCGGGGGGAGCAAGGATTAAGGAAAGCATATGGTCTTCACTGACCCCTAGGCATGATGAGTAGCTAACCCTTTAAGTAGAAGGGGGGAGGGGGGCTTTAATTAAATTTAGCCTTCTGCATTGATTCCAAATTCCTGTTCCCAATTTTTCACTGAAAACTCCCAGTTTCACTTATCCTGAACTGACAGCTTTAAGAAACAGAATCGGCAAGACCGGGCAATTTTTGGTCCATGGCTAAAGGCTTCCAATATTTTAAGATGTGGTGTCTCTTACCAGAGTGGAGCCCGATGCGTATTCGGACTTGGACATCAGGCATGTGCCTCATTTTAAATGATCCCACGGAGCTAAGGATATCCAGGGACATGTTGGCAATTTCAGCTGCATGACGAGTGCCATTTTTTTTCGGCAGCCCAGAAGCGACCATGTAGGCATCACCAATGGTTTCCACCTATCCCGAAAGAGGCAAACCACTTAATTTTGTTGTTCATCTCAATATGAAAAAAATGAAAATGTCAAGAGAGGAGGAGTATGCTTTTACCTTATAGACATCATGAGATCCAATAATAGCATCAAAAAGTGTGTAGAGATCATTGAGAAGATCTACAACTTCAATAGGTTCGCTGAGGGAGGAAATGGTTGTGAAACCCACAATGTCACTAAAGTAAATAGTGACTTGGTCAAAATATTCTGGCTCCACAGGAGTACCTGTTTTCAGAGCTTCAGCTACAGACCTGGAGGAAAAAAAAGGAAAACATTAAAAATGTAGCTTTTTCTATAACAGATTCATGTGGACTTGGAGTTCCCTCTGTTATCTAGACCTTCTATAACCAATTTTATCTGCTCATTCACAACATAAAGGATTTTCCCATCTTCATATCCCACTCACGGTGGAAGCATCTGAGTCAAGAGTTTGTCTGTCTTCTGCTTCTCCACTTCCAACTCTTCAGTTCTCTCTCGGATCAGATCCTCCAAGTTACTAGAGTACTGTTCTAGCATTCGAAGCATGGAATCGATGATGTTTGTTTTGCGTCCACGGTTTATAGTCTTAAACTGGATTGAGAGAGGAAAAGGGAAACATAAAGAGTCAAGGAAATGCAATATTTCCATGGTACTAGCTAATTGGACCACTCGGTCATGGACAGTCCAACACCTGCTCGAGAGAGGAGGAGAACCGGTGGTGTTAAATGTGATTTAGGGGTCTATTTATAAAACAAATTCACACAAGATATACCCAACTTTCACTCAGGATTCACACATTATTGCAATAAGACCCAAATAGAAAAGCGGTTGAATCTTGAGTGAAAGCTGTGTGAATCGAGTGCAAAAAATTTTATAAATTGAAAATCAATGTGTACAGTAAAACAACTTATTATTATAATGGCCTATGGCAAAGCTAAAAAGAAAACTAAAAACCTCTTTACCTTTTGATTGTAATTTAAAATTGAGGTTTCTGCTATTTATGGTTCCTTTATACAAAATCATTGCTAAGAAAAGCAGATTGCGACAGCCAACCAGTATATACATACAGACACCAGTTTAATAAATGAAAGCAAACATTTTGATGGATTTACCTGGTCAAAGATCTGGTCAATGTTGGGTCTTCTGTCCGGATGTTCACTCCAACACTGCTTCATTAAATGGATACACTCTGGCGGAGCCTGGTCCAAGGAGACGGAGGGGCGGCAAAGTGGGGGAGGGCGGCGAACCTTTTTGATTATTTCTGAAGAATCATGATTAATACAAAATGAGAAACTTAGATGAAATCATATTAAAGTTTTGTTGGCAAAAAATTGATCAACATATTAGGTAGCTTTATGACAATTTGGTTCCTTTATAATCTTGCTCCCATTTCTATAAGGAATGATAGCATGATATTAGAACCAAATACTACTAGGGTGACAACCAAAACTGTAAGGACACCAAAATGTCAAGAAGCAAAGGGTGGATGAAAAGACACTGAAATCTAACAAATAAAAGGCAATCCAGAATTATTACAGACCATTGCACTATTCTAACAGTCTTACAACAATGACAAATGGTTGGTGGCTAATAGCAACCATTCGCCCTGAGTCTATGTAGGCCCCTTTCACACAGGCACCTTCATTTCCGATCAGCGGGGGATCCATGCACAGAGCAGATGACAATATTGTGACATCCTTGTCTGTCCAATTTTTTGCTCCATCGAAAATGAAAATTATCGCCGCCCATGTTGGTCTAAGGCAGGGGTTCCCATTAGGTAGATCGTGATCTACAAGTAGCTCTCAAAGGTGATGCTGGTAGATCAGGAAGGGTGGGAATGGCGGCCCCTTTATTCCATTTTGGTATATTTAGCTGTGCACACATGATTACCTATTAGCCTGAGTCTGCTGAGCAAAGCTCCCTGACACCTTTCTGGTGGATACTGGTGGTTGAAGTGCTATGTATTACATCAAAGAATATTCGTTTACACAGCCTGTTGCACTGCACTGTTTGCAAACAGGTGAGCCAGGAGAGAGAGCAAGGAGAGACAGCCAGGAAAGAGAGAGAGGAGAGAAAGCCAGGGGAGAGAGCAAGGATAGACAGTCAAGAGAGCGAAGAGAGACAGCCAGGAGAGAAAACGAGGAATGACAGCCAGGAGAGAGAGGGAGCGAGGAAAGACAGCCAGAGGAGAGAGAGGAGAGACAGCCAGGAGAGAGAGAGCGAAGAAAGAAAGCCAGAGGAGAGAGAGGAGAGACAGCTAGGAGAGAGAGAGCGAGGGAGGTTTTTTTTTTCGTTGGTAGATCTCATGTAGCTCGTCATTTGAAAAGTAGATCTTAACACAACAAATTGTGGGCACCCCTGGTCTAAGGGGAGTTGGATGGAAATGGACATGTGTCCGTTTACATCAGATTACCACCGATCCGCCACAATCAGGTCCGCTGAAATGGAACTCTGATCCGTTTGTTTTCCAGACATGGCCAAATTTGGGGGTAATTGGATATAAACGAACACACACCTGTTTAGATCCGGCTGCCCATAGACTAACATTGGGCTTCCAATCAGATCCGCCTGAAAAATTGACCTGATCGGAATGCCCGCGTGAAAGGGGCCTTAGAAATCACAAACCTCAAAGTGTTGTAAAACAACAGGTCCACATATCTTCTATTCCCCTCTCACTTGTTTATACTTATGTTCCCTTTTACTCCCCTGTTCATTAGTGCTAGGTGGCTACTTATCCAATCATCAGGCATCATGTCACATGGTGGCAAAGAGAAAAGTAGTCCTGTGTAAGCTCCAACCTGGAGGACCTGAAACTTACACATGGCTTCCCGCAGTGGAGTGAAGGGAGGGTAAGTATGTGCAGCAAGGACTATGTCCAGTTGTTGCTTTTCCCTCCATGAGCAGGCTTGCTTTAAAGCTAGCTGTTCTTGGCACAAGACAGTTTCCCAAATTGCTAGCAAATATCACTCACAGATTATTTTACTACTGTGAAGCCTTCTGATTGAATTCACGAATTCTTATTTAATTCCTTACATGTCATAAAATCATAACAAAAGTTAAAGCCTTCTACTTTAGAGAAACTACTGCATTTCAACGTCATACCTTCTGCAGAAAGCTCCAGCATGCAGTAAGGACCTCCTCTTACAATGACCTCTTGCATTATAATGGCTAAACCGTAGATATCCCCTCTGTAGGTTCCTTTATGATGTACCAGTGACTCATGTAGGAGTTCAGGAGCTGTCCAGAACATGTCTGAAATTACAGTTTATAGCATGAGCCAGAGAGTACTTTGTGCTAGGTTGCCCTTTTTAACCTTTTACACTGAAGGAACTCTTAAAATAATTTTTAGGTCTCAAAGAGCATCTACCTAAAGATGAACATATCTACACTCATGGTAAGTTAGTGTGATTAGTAGGTTGTAGAGATAATCAGGCCCAGGGGATGGCCAGGGGGCCCAGCTACATCCTTCAGGCTCCCGCAGTAAACCTAGGGGATATTGTAAATAGTCACATGTGCTCCTGCCTGTCCCTTTGGAAAGGGAGTATTCTGTTGTTGGCTTTTGGTCTCTGATTGGACCAAGCCAGTACAGGCAATGTAATTGGAGAGGTTTCTCTGTGTCCTATTGCAATCCTTATCAATGTCAATCAAAGAGATGGGGGTGGTGGGAGACAAAGCTTCTACCTTTCCTAGGGCACCATTCTCCCTTAATCTGTATCTGGATATAATAAGCCAATAGTAATGGACAATGCTCTTTTGATTAAAGGAGAAGTATGAGGTGAGTGATTTACACTCATCCTCATAGTGAGAGCCGACGTGTGACATTGAAATTGTCACACATCGACTCTATTGATCTGGAAGTGAGCACATATCGTCGCTCGCTGACATCCCGATCATCTTCCTGCAGAGAGAGTTGACTGCCAGTCACTGCTCCTCGCAGGGATTCCTCCCTCCCCTCTCCGATCCTCCAGGGCTGAGTGGCGAAACAGACATGGGTGGGCACAGCTGGCTCTGCCTCTAGATAGGCAGAGCCCATTGTCAAAATCAGCAAGCTGGGTGGACCTTGACAGTATTGTCGGGATCCGTCCCGGCTGCGGCGCTCTCAGTATATAGCAGGCAATAGCCCGCTATATACTGAGCTTTGGGTTTAACGTTTTCCTTCAAAAATTCATACTTGGTTTTGTTATCCTGTTTAAGTATGCCTAAAATCTTTACTTTGGTTTTCTGCTACACCGCTAGAGCTTGTACACTCACGTAAAGCAGTAAGCAGTACAGTAATTTGGGGGAGGTAGTTCGGGGGAATCATCAACGTATTATCATGCCCTTCGTTCATTAAAACATTTACGAATTATTTACCTGGTCAAAGATCTGGTCAATGTTGGATCCAGCCTCAAAACTGAGCGTGGACTGAACCCATCATTGCAAGCAGAGATGAGGTTCAGGTTCACTGCTACTGTGGGTCTGCTGCCAATCCCCAATATTGGCCTAAAAGTTACCATGTTATCCGCTGGCAACAAGGAACTACCTAAAATGCAGTCTGCGTAGAAATATGTTTGCTCTTACATGTTTCTAAGAGAGGATGTTCTCTAAAAACACCCTTGTATGTGTTAGCTTTATCTCCCAAGGACTTAACCTTCGATATTTTGAAAGGAGTGCCTGTTTTATTCACTACTCACGGAACTGATAGCAGAAGCCGCACTCACATCTAATGAGGTTTTTGTTGCTGTACCTTCAGGTTGAGGATCCGGTGCCGTAATTCTTTGAGCTTCATACAAATCATTAATTCCATAGTCTGTTAATTTCAACACAAATCTTCCATCTACAACACAGTTCCTAGACTTCAGATGTCCATGTACAATTTCACGGTGATGGAGGAACTTCAAGCCCTGAAAGTTACCGTAAAAAAAAGCATTAATTTACTTCCTTACTTCCTGTGCGCTCTGCCTGTGCTGACTGTTGTCAGTCACATTGCTCCCAGCTGTTTATAAGGACTACAGAACCCTGCCCATCTAGGTGATGGACAAGGAAGAGGGGCAGGGTTCCATATTTATATCTTGTTTCAGTTGTGCTGATACAGAAGGGTGAGTGAGCGTTGTCACTCTAGGACTGGAAGTGTGGTACTGGTTGAATCCCCATGTAAAAAAATGTTTTTTTAAATCCTGAAAAAAAAACTAATGCAGTCACTATATTGATACTGGTAATATATTACATCTTTGATTTTGTTTAGAAACGCTTTAACAAGACCTGAAACCTTTCAATGCCATAAATCAGACATGTGTAAGTTAGCACAAGAACTATAAACTAGGTAGCTTGGCTCTAAAACGGTCTACGTCAGGGACGTGCGGTCAGGGGAGGCAGGTGAGGCAGAACCTCACCTAGAATTATGGAGGAAAAAGCTGTCAGCTTCAAGCCTGAAGCTGACAGCTTTTTCTCCATTTAGATCGGCATCTAACAGGTTACAGAGCAGGGAAATCCTCCCCGCTGTGTAACCTGTCATGGATGAAGCGCTGCCTGTTAATTACAGGCAGTGCTGCATTCGGCTTTTGACAGGTAGTAAGTGAGGGACAGGGAGGCTGCTCCCTTCCTCCTTCACACTAGCTTGGGGACGGGTTGGGGTGGGGCTTCGTCCAGCAGGGCGGGGCTTCATCTGGCAGGGGGCGCACGTCACTAGTCTACGTAAATACTATTGAGTAACACTTGCAAACATACTACCATATTTCAGGTTTGCAAAACTACAAAGAACTAAAAAAATGAAACATGTATTGACTATGTATAGACTTAGAATTTTTATATGAGATTTGCACAGCTTTTCAAACGTCAGCTCTGTTGAATAGACCATTTTCCATAATGAGACTTCATTCAAGTTATGTTCCTTACCTAGTTTAGGCCACACGTATTAAGGTCACCTATGGTCCAGAAAACACCAGTATTACATGGCTACTAGAAACATTTTACCATTATTGCCTTCCTCCTACCTTGATGAGATCGAGAAGAAGGGAGGATTTAAACATCCAGTCTAGCTTCATGTCTTCATTCTGAACGAGATCTTCAAGACTTCCACGAGAGCAATGTTCTGACACCACTCCAAGGACACCCATGTCATGGTACAAACCCAAGTACAGGTTTACATTCTCGTGGCGGAGTTCACGGAGCTGAGGAAGAAAAAAAACATGTTTGTAAGTCATATTAAACTACAGTGTGTTAAAGATTGAACTAATGTACATGCTGAAGGACCAAAAGAAGGTTCAGACAAGTTTGCAGTCTAAGAGGTTAAAGAACACTAGATACATACAGTAAGAAAGGAAGATGGCAGTGGCGATGAAGGAGTAAAGGAGAGATTGTTTCTTGGAAATGAAGGAGAAGGATAGAAAATGGATCAGATAATACTGGACATGTGAGTATTCAGCTCAGAATTGGAGCTGACTGAGGAATGTTTTGAAGGACCAAGTTGTGATCAGTATGTATATATCAGACCGCAGCTCACAGTAGACCTCCCTTGGGTGTAAAGGCTATTGACCTGGTTGAATATTTGTGACCGGTGGCCTCTTGTTCAATGGAGATGTAGGCAGTATAGCAAGCAAACATGTCTATGTCTAAATGTTGGACAAAAGAGATGTTCATCAAAAGTCAGATAGTTCCTAAATATATGACCACTGTGTTGGACCATAGTTACATAGTATTTGAGGTTGAATAAAGACACTGGTCCATCAAGTTCAACCTTTGTGTATCTGTATGTGATTGTGCATGTTTGTGTGTGTATATGAATCCCTGTGTGGTCTAGTTTTTAAGAGTACCTGTACCCCTGCATGTTATGGTCTCTGAGGAATGTATCTAAATGCTTTTTGAATGATTCAATACTCTCTGCTGATACCACTTCTTGTGGCAGCGAGTTCCAGATTTTAACCACTCTAACTGAAAAAAGCCCCTACACCCCTTGTGGTTAAATCTTTTCTCCACCAGTTTTTGGTGGTGGCCTCTAGTCTTTGTTACGGAGTTTACAGTGAACAACTTGAACCTTCATCTCAACACAATCTGCCAGAGATTACCAGAAACATTTAATAACTTACCGTACAGAACACATTCTTTGTGGTTGGCCGAATATCACTGTGCTTCTCACCAGCAAACCTTTTAAGCCATATCCAGTCCCCCTAAGAGAAAGAAAAAAAGAAAGCCTCTCATGACAGATTCTGTCCATGGATCCGTCCAAAATAACAGGATTTGATTCAATACTCTCTGCTGATACCACTTCTTGTGGCAGCGAGTTCCAGATTTTAACCACTCTAACTGAAAAAAGCCCCTACACCCCTTGTGGTTAAATCTTTTCTCCACCAGTTTTTGGTGGTGGCCTCTAGTCTTTGTTACGGAGTTTACAGTGAACAACTTGAACCTTCATCTCAACACAATCTGCCAGAGATTACCAGAAACATTTAATAACTTACCGTACAGAACACATTCTTTGTGGTTGGCCGAATATCACTGTGCTTCTCACCAGCAAACCTTTTAAGCCATATCCAGTCCCCCTAAGAGAAAGAAAAAAAGAAAGCCTCTCATGACAGATTCTGTCCATGGATCCGTCCAAAATAACAGGATAAGTGATTCAATATATATATATTGAAATAAATGTGGCCATTAGAGGCCCATATAAGTGAATGGTACTCCTTTACCTTCATCTCCCAGCCTAGAGATGATGGAAGATGATTCCCATAGATGTATATGAGGCTGTAAAGTGTCTGCACAGCCGGGAGAGTGAGGACTTTCAGTGTTGGATGTAAATAAACAACGGAAGCCGTGGCCCCATATCCTGTGAGCATACATCTGTGGAATGTGGGGTTGATTAGCCTAGGGCAAAGGGTCAAAAATGTCCTTGATGCCCTGCGTTTACAGGAGGTGTGTTAAATGGTACTGGGTGTCATACAACCCAGAAGAAGACTAGCACTGGATTGGATTCAGCTGCCTCATGATCTTCTATATTTAAGGATGGAATGTGACAGAATAAATCTTTGTCATCTCCAGTTTGCCACAGAGCTGTGCACATCTGTTTCAGTTGGCTGCCCAGGATTTCGGGTAGAGTGGTCAGGAATACACATAAATCCCATTGGATTAGACTCTGAGAAGGTTAGGTGAAGATCCGGGTGACTCACCAATGTTCTCACTTGACTTGATACTAATACAAATGGCCTTTGTGTACAAAAACAAAGCCAATTTATAAAGCTAAAAAAAATATGGGAACAAGTGAAATACCGTATTTTTCACTCCATAAGGTGCACCTGGGGGAGGGTAGGGTTCTCTGTAGTTCCTGACAGCTGAGACAGGTGGCTCTGTGATTACAGCACCACGGTCTCAGTGATCACTCAGAGCAGACGAAGAACGGCCGTTCTTCGTCTGCTCTACGGGCTCTATGGTGAGCTCCTATGCCGTGGTCACCCCGAAAACTGTGGGGGGGGGGG